GAGGGCATAGCCCAAACAAAAAGGAAAGGCTAAGGCCCAAGGAAGAGTTGGGCCATATTTTTCTTGAAGAAAGAAATACNTTTTTTTTTTTTTTAAAAGCAAAAGAGAGGAAGGCAAGTTTAATATTCAAGATGATATAGGATTTTAAACATTGGATTTGTATCCTATTAATTTTATTTCTTCTTCCAATTCAACTATGGATTCCATTGTAAGTCGAGAGCGATTGAAATTGAGAAAAATAGGAGATTCTTAAAATCGAAAGGATCAAAAATCATTTGGTCATACAATACAATTGGCCAATCCTATATGAGGAGAAAACAAAATACACGTCAAACTCTTAGAGAGTCACGGTGGCCAGTTCGGAGTTTAAAAGATTAATCGGTACAAATTTAAATACTTCATAAAAAATANTACCGTGAGCATCCTATTCATGACAATGGATGTCTATGCAGAAAATGGTTAATTTGCCGTAATCAAGACTCTCGTCATGGCGGATTCTAAACGAATAAGTAGCGTCAGCTACTTCTTTTTTTTTTTTTTTTTGGAAGAGATAAAATTAGGACTGTTGGGTGAACGCGCTCGATCCGAGTTGGAATCGAACTTGAAAAACTTGTTTTTTAATCGAGTCTAAAAAATTATTTAAGTTCGGCTTGTTTAGAAAACAAGTCGATCCTGAACAGGTCAAAAATAAGTCAAACCTGAGCCGAGCCGGAGTATTTACACATAAACGAGTCGAGTTTGAACCGAACTTATAGGGTTTGTTTTCTAAGCGAGCCTAAAACTTGTTCAAGTTTGACCTCATTTAGAAAACGAATTGAACTTCAACGAGTTGAACCTGAGCCAAATTCAGGCCAAGTTTTAGTAACTCTGTTTGATTAACAGCCCTAGGTAAAATAAAAATTTTAATATCTTTTTCTCGAACTCCATCACTTTCCATACTTTAGAAACAATTGGTAAAAAGAAAAATCGACTGAGAAAAATAAACAACTCAATATCAATTGACAATGGACAGAGTGTAAATATTGTGGCATGGATTAAAGTTCAAGGGCTTAACAATTATAATTAAAACCGTACGTTAATTGGTGTAAACTTTCAGGGACTAAAGTGTAATTAGCCAAAAAAGAAATAAGCAAAAAAACGACCACAATACGTCGCCGTTCGATAAAGTTCATAGCAAACAGCAATTACACTTTAAACGACGTCATATTTGCACTTGACCTCCGTTCTTCTGTCACTGCTGCAAAAACTCATACTTTCTCTATCTTCTCTGCAATTCGGAAAGATGGCTGCGTCATCGTCATCGTCATCGTCAACGTCCACAGCCGGCGGGGTAACAGGGAGAAGGGGGATACCAGCTGCAGCATTCGTAGAAGACGTGCAAACTTATCTGACCGAATCGAGTCTGGATGTCAACTCTTCTCTTGCCTTCCTCCAAGAAAGGTCTTTTCTTTTCTCTTCTTCTCTCTCTTTCTGTTATCCCTTTATACGTACTTGCATATGTGTATGTATATGTCCCTACATATGTGTTATTCAAAGGCTCAGATCAGTATCTATCTGGGTTTATTGGAGGTTTTAGTTTAGTATTCACTGATCTCCAAATCACTTAGAGGTCAAGCTCTTGTGATGAGGCATTGTAGAGATGTGTTGGACCCTTTTGAGTGTTTGTATTGTATGGGACACCTCTTGATCAAGTTTTTATGAGCCAGTAATGTCTGTGTGTGAACTTTGACATCGGGTTATTCTTCCATTAGTTCTGGTATAGGAATGAATGTGTACATAAAGTTTCTGGGGGTATGAAAGCAAAATACCAAATTCATGTATAAAAGGTTTTATGTTTTTTTTTTTTAATTTTCTTCTATAATTTGCTTTACTTATGTTAGAATGGAACAGGAACAACCCATGCTGTTGGTCCCAGACCCTAATCTTAAACCTTCTAAGATGCACATTCGTCTTCCCAACTTCAAAAAAAAAACTGTGATGTCAATAAGTCTTTGACCAAAGAGATTACCATGACATCACCAATGGGCCTTTGGTCCAATGATACTCCTTATCNAAGATGCACATTCGTCTTCCCAACTTCAAAAAAAAAACTGTGATGTCAATAAGTCTCTGACTAAAGAGATTACCATGACATAACTAATGGGCCTTTGGTCCAATGATACTCCTTACCNTCAAGATGATATAGGATTTTAAACATTGGATTTGTATCCTATTAATTTTATTTCTTCTTCCAATTCAACTGTGGATTCCATTGTAAGTCGAGAGCGATTGAAATTGAGAAAAATAGGAGATTCTTAAAATCGAAAGGATCAAAAATCATTCGGTCATACAATACAATTGGCCAATCCTATATGAGGAGAAAACAAAATACACGTCAAACTCTTAGAGAGTCACGGTGGCCAGTTCAGAGTTTAAAAGATTAATCGGTACAAATTTAAACACTTCATAAAAAATAAAAAAAAAAATCTTGGGGAATCCTCCCACACTGGAGGAAGGATTTGCATTGAGTGGTCAAGGTGAGCCTCAAATCTACTAGCCGATTCGATAGGTAAGCTTTTAATTTATAAGAGCACTAGTCGACCACATACTTAAAAGAGNTTTTTTTTTTTTTAAAAGCAAAAGAGAGGAAGGCAAGTTTAATATTCAAGATGATATAGGATTTTAAACATTGGATTTGTATCCTATTAATTTTATTTCTTCTTCCAATTCAACTATGGATTCCATTGTAAGTCGAGAGCGATTGAAATTGAGAAAAATAGGAGATTCTTAAAATCGAAAGGATCAAAAATCATTTGGTCATACAATACAATTGGCCAATCCTATATGAGGAGAAAACAAAATACACGTCAAACTCTTAGAGAGTCACGGTGGCCAGTTCGGAGTTTAAAAGATTAATCGGTACAAATTTAAATACTTCATAAAAAATAAAAAAAAATCTTGGGGAATCCTCCCACACTGGAGGAAGGATTTGCATTGAGTGGTCAAGGTGAGCCTCAAATCTACTAGCCGATTCGATAGGTAAGCTTTTAATTTATAAGAGCACTAGTCGACCACATACTTAAAAGAGACTTACTTTTGGACTGGCTCTGCACCTGATTGGCAGTGATTAGACAAATCTAAATGTGTTTTGTCGACCTAGTAATTGGTTTATGCAATAATTTTCAAGATAGATGTCACATTGTTTGGGTGTAGAGAGATGGGTTATAACTACATTGATATTGAATGTAACTCTTCCTTTGTAGTTACATGAATATTCTCTCACATGTATACGGTTTGGTATCAAACCGCGGATTATTTGGCAAGGCAGGGATCGACAGGAGAGACAACTAGGTACTTGAGCAGTGCCTAGTAAGGCTAGATAAGCTTGGAATGCCTAGTATGAGGTGCTAATTGGTGCTAGTTTGTGTGGTTTTGTTGATTTATAACCATGGTATTCCTCCGCCACAAGTGTGGGTGATCTAATAAATTTCGGAGATTTCCCATCGTCATCTTTAAAAAATATGTCAGATTGTTTTGGGATATTATCTAACGCTATAAATTTTTTTTTCCTTCAGTAAGGTAAAACCATTATTACAGTGTATACTTTGAATTCATAGCAGACTATGGATACATACAATCACTTATATATTGTTTAAATACTGACTCGAACTTGGGATATTAAAGATGTTACAATTCTACAATCTTATCGTTGGAACATAGATCACATAATGCGGTCCAGTGGACTAGCGCTTGAAACGCCAATCTGTGAATTAAGAGCGGATTCGACACAAAAACATATAATACTGTTTATAGCTGCAGAATTTCACCCTATTGTAATATATAAGCATACAAAATGAGTCATCTGGAGCAGGCCCGGATGTTCAAAGGATTATTTAGTGAATATCGATATTCAATAATAATTCATATATATATATTACTATATATTACTGCAAAATAAAAAAAAAAGTATATTAATCGAATTTGGGAGAGAAAGATAAGAAGACGATAAAGGAACGGTCTAGTAGGTTGGGTTGGGTGTTTGAGGAATCATGTGAGACAATGTGCATTGAGCGGGAGGGCATAGCCCAAACAAAAAGGAAAGGCTAAGGCCCAAGGAAGAGTTGGGCCATATTTTTCTTGAAGAAAGAAATACCGTGAGCATCCTATTCATGACAATGGATGTCTATGCAGAAAATGGTTAATTTGCCGTAATCAAGACTCTCGTCATGGCGGATTCTAAACGAATAAGTAGCGTCAGCTACTTCTTTTTTTTTTTTTTTTTGGAAGAGATAAAATTAGGACTGTTGGGTGAACGCGCTCGATCCGAGTTGGAATCGAACTTGAAAAACTTGTTTTTTAATCGAGTCTAAAAAATTATTTAAGTTCGGCTTGTTTAGAAAACAAGTCGATCCTGAACAGGTCAAAAATAAGTCAAACCTGAGCCGAGCCGGAGTATTTACACATAAACGAGTCGAGTTTGAACCGAACTTATAGGGTTTGTTTTCTAAGCGAGCCTAAAACTTGTTCAAGTTTGACCTCATTTAGAAAACGAATTGAACTTCAACGAGTTGAACCTGAGCCAAATTCAGGCCAAGTTTTAGTAACTCTGTTTGATTAACAGCCCTAGGTAAAATAAAAATTTTAATATCTTTTTCTCGAACTCCATCACTTTCCATACTTTAGAAACAATTGGTAAAAAGAAAAATCGACTGAGAAAAATAAACAACTCAATATCAATTGACAATGGACAGAGTGTAAATATTGTGGCATGGATTAAAGTTCAAGGGCTTAACAATTATAATTAAAACCGTACGTTAATTGGTGTAAACTTTCAGGGACTAAAGTGTAATTAGCCAAAAAAGAAATAAGCAAAAAAACGACCACAATACGTCGCCGTTCGATAAAGTTCATAGCAAACAGCAATTACACTTTAAACGACGTCATATTTGCACTTGACCTCCGTTCTTCTGTCACTGCTGCAAAAACTCATACTTTCTCTATCTTCTCTGCAATTCGGAAAGATGGCTGCGTCATCGTCATCGTCATCGTCAACGTCCACAGCCGGCGGGGTAACAGGGAGAAGGGGGATACCAGCTGCAGCATTCGTAGAAGACGTGCAAACTTATCTGACCGAATCGAGTCTGGATGTCAACTCTTCTCTTGCCTTCCTCCAAGAAAGGTCTTTTCTTTTCTCTTCTTCTCTCTCTTTCTGTTATCCCTTTATACGTACTTGCATATGTGTATGTATATGTCCCTACATATGTGTTATTCAAAGGCTCAGATCAGTATCTATCTGGGTTTATTGGAGGTTTTAGTTTAGTATTCACTGATCTCCAAATCACTTAGAGGTCAAGCTCTTGTGATGAGGCATTGTAGAGATGTGTTGGACCCTTTTGAGTGTTTGTATTGTATGGGACACCTCTTGATCAAGTTTTTATGAGCCAGTAATGTCTGTGTGTGAACTTTGACATCGGGTTATTCTTCCATTAGTTCTGGTATAGGAATGAATGTGTACATAAAGTTTCTGGGGGTATGAAAGCAAAATACCAAATTCATGTATAAAAGGTTTTATGTTTTTTTTTTTTAATTTTCTTCTATAATTTGCTTTACTTATGTTAGAATGGAACAGGAACAACCCATGCTGTTGGTCCCAGACCCTAATCTTAAACCTTCTAAGATGCACATTCGTCTTCCCAACTTCAAAAAAAAAACTGTGATGTCAATAAGTCTTTGACCAAAGAGATTACCATGACATCACCAATGGGCCTTTGGTCCAATGATACTCCTTATCTAGTCTTTCCTTCTTGAAGTCAAGGGTTCAAATCTCTCTCCCGTTCCCCAAACAAAAAAACCATGGTATAAAACTCGTGAGCAATTGAATTGGCTTGACAAAGGATGAGAAGTCAATTGAGGCCAGAAGAAGATTAACTGGCATCCACGTATGATAAATATCAAATCATGGGGAACCAGAACCTCGAGCTCCCCCATGTTAGTATTGCACATCTTGTTGCTTTTTCTCTGTAAAGGTAAAAATACTCCGCAGTGGAAAATCATACAGAACTTGCTGTTCATTATATCTGGACTCCTTTGATGAGGATCTGAAAAATCTATTTTTATGTATCTCATTGCACATGTCTATTCTTTGCTGCATTATTTGTTCCAAGCCATGTTAATTTAGGCACATTTTAACAACTATGGTTTGTTGTGAAGCAGTTCACAGTCATAAAGGTTCTCATTTTCCTGTGTTGTGATTACTAGCCGACATAATAGTCTTTTGACAGCTGGATTACTTGGTATTTGTATGCTAAATGCAAATATTGACCTCATGAATATACTTATTGCCTTAGCCATAGCTGACTTTCAAGTTTCAAACCTTATTCCTCTTTTAATAATATTTGTTATCATACAAGCGTTTCAACCTTTTTCTCACGTCATGACAACCGCATTACTTTGATGAACTTGTCCAAATCATCTGAAGAAAACTTCACACAAAGATTTTGATTTAAATTTCTATTCATTGGATTGTAAAATGTTCTCCATTAGGTCTACTGCATACTTCTTCTCTTCTTTGTCTTTTCTTTTTACCATGCATATGTTTCAATGTAGTCTTACTAATCATGAAGCATATTTGTTTTGGAACCCAGTCAAGATATTAGTTAGTACAATTTTTGTAAAGGCCCACCTCAACTGTCAATGTATTGTTCGCTTTGGATGCCCATATAACCTCACGGTTTTGTTCTTCTGGGGTTTTGCCCCAGAAAATGCTTCTTGACAATTAAGAGTGAGCACACCACATATATAGCCCAGTCACTTCTCCTTCTGAGTTGATGTGGGATACAACACATGAAACTATAGCACCTCCTCACCTCACAAGACCTTTTAGCAGGCTACTACAGTTTTAGTAATGCAATTGGATTCAATTATATTGTTCCATTATTGTATAATTGTGGACGAGTGTTTTAATGTCATCATGAAACTAGTGTCGTTACTCTTTACTATGCACCTATTCATACCCCCTGTAGCTCTTGGAACTGCCTTTAGTTTTTTTGGTATTATGCTACAAGTTTCTATTTTTACTTACCAAAGGTCACATAAAACACTTTCTTTCCTTTGTTATGATGTTCACTTTTAACATGAAAGTAATTTGTTCATACTTTCCTTTTAGGCAGTTATAAAGTACAACCTTACAAAAAATTGTTCGCCTAAGTGAAACAGCCCAAACCCAAGAAGTTCAATAAGGCTTTTTGAGTTGTTTCACAAAAGGGAAGACTATTGACATGGATTTTAACTTATTTGTGCACCAAATCTCTGTTGCTTGTCTTTTAAATTAATTTTTTGCCCCTAATTATTTAGCTTATCTTTTTTATTTTGTTTTGTGATGCGCATCGTGCTCTAATCTTTTGCAGACTTCAGCAGTATAGGGTGGTTGAGATGAAACTTCTTGCTCAGCAGAGGGAGCTTCAGGTATTATAGTGATATTTCACATAAGGTGTTCATTTAAAGTTTTATATTGCTAATAATAGCCTTAATGTGAATAGTGAGATCTGAACATTGCTTCTTGCTCTTGTGATTTCCAGGCAAAGATTCCTGACATTGAGAAGTGCTTAGACATAGTTTCCACTTTGCAAGCTAAGAAGGGTGCTGGTGAGGTTCGTTTTTTGAAATGTTTATGAATTTTTTGAACATATTCTGTGGTTTGGTAATCTAGTATCTGGACAGTTAGCTAATGCTTGGATTGTGTACGAGGGCAAAGCTCATAAATTCTGTATGATCCTTTCCAATATATCTACCTTATTAGGTCAAGAGAATGCTTTTAGTCTAGCTAGTGCTTTGATTCGGTAAAGTAGTGTGGAACACAAGTTCACACAAATATTGATGCTATGGAATCAAAATATGTTGGTATCAGTTACAGGATATAACTTCTCTTTACAAAAAGGCTTCTGATCCCTTTCTTTGCTGCCATACTAAACTTCATTCTCTAGTGGTTATTGGATAAAAATTGTTCAACAACCATTTATTCCAAAAGCTTAAGTTGTTAGATTGTGTGCCGCTTAAGTATTTATACTTCAACACACACCCTCACGTGCTGGCTAAATTTTGGGCTTTTACCACTTGAAAAAGGATTTTTTTTTTTAATAATTACGGTGGCAGCAAGATTCGAACTCNCAAAAGCTTAAGTTGTTAGATTGTGTGCCGCTTAAGTATTTATACTTCAACACACACCCTCACGTGCTGGCTAAATTTTGGGCTTTTACCACTTGAAAAAAGATTTTTTTTATTAATAATTAGGGTGGCAGCAAGATTCGAACCCAAGATCTCTTGCTTTGCAAGATGTTAAACACTCATTTACTCCAAAAACTTAAGTTGTTGGAGATGGTGCAACTTAAGTATTTATACTTCAACTAAAATAAACGTCAAGGCTGTCAAAAATGTGTTTCACAACACACATCGTTTTCTAAAAGTAGTGTATCATTTATCGTAACGTAAAATGTAGTGTCATGTAACANAACTAAAATAAACGTCAAGGCTGTCAAAAATGTGTTTCACAACACACATCGTTTTCCAAAAGTAGTGTATCATTTATCGTAACGTAAAATGTAGGGTCATGTAACATAAAATACACACAGTTCTAAAAATATACTAATTGATATATCCCTATGAATAACTACAATGTCGTGTCTATAATAATATCAATACAATAAAAACATTTCATTTAAGCACCAGTTTCACACCTATTTGAAGAGATTATAAAGTCCAAAGCAAAACAAAAAGAAAGGGTTGTGCTTTGGGTCTCCGCAATTGATTGGAACACTATATGATGACAAATTTACTCTTTATAACCTAGACAATGAAACGAAATTGTTTCCCTATCTAGGGCTTAAAAGAAATTTACTCCATATAATTAAAAGCCAAAAGAAAAACTAAGCAATTGCGTGTATCGGATGGTGGTCATGGTTGCCTTTGGTTTGCTTATTCCTGCTAGATTAAAAACTTATTGAGGGGAATTAGATTGTCTGTCATTGTCGTCGATGTACACGTAGTTCATCATTTTACTTTTTGGGGACTTATTTTTCGTTTTGACTATTTATTTGCTTTAAGGTTTGCATTCCCTACATATAGAGGAAGGAGGTATTTGTTTTGTTAGACTTGGATTTATTGAATATTGAGAATTATTGCTTTTCTTGCCCTAATTTCCTTCTTATGATTTCTCATCTCTCTCTTCTTCTCTTCTTCTCTTCTCATCCCTTTTCTTCTTCTCGTCTCATCTTTNATAGAGGAAGGAGGTATTTGTTTTGTTAGACTTGGATTTATTGAATATTGAGAATTATTGCTTTTCTTGCCCTAATTTCCTTCTTATGATTTCTCATCTCTCTCTTCTTCCCTTCTCATCCCTTTTCTTCTTCTCGTCTCATTTCTATTTTAATCATTCTTACCTCGTCTGGGAAGTATATATTACCACTGATTTTTCCAGTTGCAGACCAATGTTTCTTCCCTATTATCATTCCGGTAAAAGCTTTTATCATTGCACGCATCTGGTTGAATTTAGTTGTTTGGTGCGCAGAATCTTCTAGCCAATACTTTTAAGTTTCTTGTTTTATTGTGCGTTATCATACTGCTAGTATATCTTGGCATATTGAGGTTCTCTATTTTCTGTTTGGCTTTTGGTTCCAGGCACTGATTGCTGATTTTGAAGTGTCAGAAGGCATCTATTCCAGGGCTTGCATTGAGGATACTGATTCTGTGTGCCTATGGCTGGGTGCAAATGTGATGCTGCAGTACTCATGTGAAGAGGTGCATAATTTGTTATCTAAAGATGTCTCTAGTTAGCTTTCACATATTTAAGTACACAACTGTTTTGAAGGTCTTAAAACTTCATGGTACAGGCCGCTGCTCTTCTACAAAAAAACTTGGAAAACGCTAAAGCCAGTTTAGAAGTTCTTGTTGCTGACCTACAATTCTTAAGGGATCAAGTGACAATTACACAGGTGCCGTTTGCATTATCCATTCTTTACAAAGAAGTCCTTAATAGAAATGTTCAATATTGTTCTCATGTCTACTAGCTTGCAGTTCACTTTAGCCTTAATCTGCTCAGAGACGGCTNTTTGAAGTGTCAGAAGGCATCTATTCCAGGGCTTGCATTGAGGATACTGATTCTGTGTGCCTATGGCTGGGTGCAAATGTGATGCTGCAGTACTCATGTGAAGAGGTGCATAATTTGTTATCTAAAGATGTCTCTAGTTGGCTTTCACATATTTAAGTACACAACTGTTTTGAAGGTCTTAAAACTTCATGGTACAGGCCGCTGCTCTTCTACAAAAAAACTTGGAAAACGCTAAAGCCAGTTTAGAAGTTCTTGTTGCTGACCTACAATTCTTAAGGGATCAAGTGACAATTACACAGGTGCCGTTTGCATTATCCATTCTTTACAAAGAAGTCCTTAATAGAAATGTTCAATATTGTTCTCATGTCTACTAGCTTGCAGTTCACTTTAGCCTTAATCTGCTCAGAGACGGCTGAAATGTTAATAGCCCAATGTAGTTGATGTGTATGGTACCATGGGTCAACAGGCCATCAATATTTCACTTTTTTGGCTATAATCATAGCTATTGATTTTGAGGACCATGTTGAGTCCCAAAATATATAAACCTATTAGAGCACCCACTACTTTTGTATGGTATTTACTTTCAAAATAAGTTGGCGTTGAGTATATAAGTGCTATTGATCAGGTCACAATTGCTCGTGTGTACAACTGGGATGTTCATCAACGCAGACTCCGGCAAGCCACTGCTGCCAAAGAGTCGTGAGATAAACTTGCACTGCACCAGGTAAGTGGGGGTGGAGTTCGCCTTTTCCGGTCAAGAATATGGTCCGGATCTCTCTTATTTATCTTTTTGGATGAATCATCCTTTGTTTTGGGATAGAACATACATTAATGAAAGAAGTATTAGAATGTTCTCACACATTTGAGCTTTTGGCTCCAAATTTTGTAAGAAAAACTCGCAGTACTTGGACCGGTTTTGATGTACAAGTAGTTTGTTAGGACTTCAGCTGTAAAATTATGATTGTTGAAATTTGTTATAATTTTGGCTGTATGGTGGGCTCTGTGTGGTGGCCCTTTATTCACTGATAGTCCGGAAGGATGACTCTTTTTTCTTTTCTTTTTTTCAATAATCAGGGGGTGTCCGCACCAATTTACGCATACTTCAACTAATTTTTTTTTCGTTTAGTTAAAAGCAGGTCATCTACACTAGGACTAAAAAATTTATAAAGAATAAATTTTTCCTGACCTGNCATTGAGGATACTGATTCTGTGTGCCTATGGCTGGGTGCAAATGTGATGCTGCAGTACTCATGTGAAGAGGTGCATAATTTGTTATCTAAAGATGTCTCTAGTTGGCTTTCACATATTTAAGTACACAACTGTTTTGAAGGTCTTAAAACTTCTTGGTACAGGCCGCTGCTCTTCTACAAAAAAACTTGGAAAACGCTAAAGCCAGTTTAGAAGTTCTTGTTGCTGACCTACAATTCTTAAGGGATCAAGTGACAATTACACAGGTGCCGTCTGCATTATCCATTCTTTACAGAGAAGTCCTTAATAGAAATGTTCAATTTTGTTCTCATGTCTACTAGCTTGCAGTTCACTTTAGCCTTAATCTGCTCAGAGACGGTTGAAATGTTAATAGCCCAATGTAGTTGATGTGTATGGTACCATGGGTCAACAGGCCATCAATATTTCACTTTTTTGGCTATAATCATAGCTATTGATTTTGAGGACCATGTTGAGTCCCAAAATATATAAACCTATTAGAGCACCCACTACTTTTGTATGGTATTTACTTTCAAAATAAGTTGGCGTTGAGTATATAAGTGCTATTGGTCAGGTCACAATTGCTCGTGTGTACAACTGGGATGTTCATCAACGCAGACTCCGGCAAGCCACTGCTGCCAAAGAGTCGTGAGATAAACTTGCACTGCACCAGGTAAGTGGGGGTGGAGTTCGCCTTTTCCGGTCAAGAATATGGTCCGGATCTCTCTTATTTATCTTTTTGGATGAATCATCCTTTGTTTTGGGATAGAACATACATTAATGAAAGAAGTATTAGAATGTTCTCACACATTTGAGCTTTTGGCTCCAAATTTTGTAAGAAAAACTCGCAGTACTTGGACCGGTTTTGATGTACAAGTAGTTTGTTAGGACTTCAGCTGTAAAATTATGATTGTTGAAATTTGTTATAATTTTGGCTGTATGGTGGGCTCTGTGTGGTGGCCCTTTATTCACTGATAGTCCGGAAGGATGACTCTTTTTTCTTTTTCTTTTTTTAAATAATCAGGGGTGTCCGCACCAATTTACGCGTATTTCAACTAATTTTTTCTTCGTCTAGTTAAAAGCAAGTCATCTACACTAGGACTAAAAAATTTATAAAGAATAATTTTTTTCTGACCCGACCTTAAAGGGATAAATGACTCTTTTCAATTTAGCAGTTCTGTCATAACTAAAATGATAGCTGATTCCAAGCCATTGGTCTTATTTCTTCCTCAGAATAGGAAATTTGGAGATGGACATCTCATGGTTTGCAAAATTTTTAGATTTAGTCTTAGATTCCAAAAAATAAAGGTTTTTTTTTAGGAATTTAGTTTGGTATGTTTGGCATTTAGGAACCTAACTATTGAACTATCATCTGCTAGAAGTGGTTTTTTTTTTTTTT